CCCCTGGCCCAGTGCAAACGTCTGAGCTTGTGGAGCTTGCTTAGAAATGGCTTCCTCTTTGCACTGTAGAGTTTCAGCTGGCAACGGCGGATGGCACGGTGGATTGTGTTCACTGACAATGCTTTCTGGAAGTATTCCTGAGCCCATTCTGTTATTTCCTTGACAGTGGCATTCCTGTTTGAGGTGCAGTGATGTTTAAGGGCCCGGAGATCACGAGCATCCAGTAGAGTTTTACGGCCTTGACCCTTACGCACAGCGATTGTTCCAGATTCTCTGAATCTTTTGATGATGTTATGCACGGTTGATGATGATAACTTAAAAGTCTTTGCTATTTTCCGCTGGGTAACACCATTCTGGTATTGCTGCACTATCTTTCTGCGCAACAATGGTGGAATTGGTGATCCTCTTACCATCTTGGCTTCTGAGAGACACTGACACTCTGAGAAGTTCTTTTTATACCCAATCATGTTGTCAATTGACCTAATTAATGTTAATTGGTCTTCCAGCTGTTCGTTATATGCGCAATTTCCTTTTTCCAGCCACTTATTGCTACTTGTCCCCACTTTTTTGGGATTTGTTGACACTGTGAAATTTTGAATCAACATATTTTTCCTTTAAAATGATACATTTACTCAGATTAAACTTTTGATCTGTCATCTATGTTATATTACGAATAAAATATTGACATTTGCCATCTCCACACCATTGCATTCAGTTTTTATTCACAATTTGTTTAGTGTCTCAATTTTTGACTTTATGCACCCAAGACAGTACAATGAAAACAGACCGACAACATGGCTGGCAGGTCTAGTCTTGTGGTTTCTGTACAAAGCAACCCAGCATGTGTGAAGTAGACCGTTACATTGTTTCTCTGAATCCAACATGGCTACATGGAAACAACCCTGAGGTTTAGAAAACTATTGCCTTTTTTATTACATCAAAGAGTGAGACATGGTCTGTAAGCAGAAGTTAAATATTAGTTGTTCTCCGTCATGACTAACGAATAAAAACAACAACCTGGATTAACCATTTGGGCCCTGGAGAAGGCCGGGCTCACGACAATGTGACATTCCTCAGGTCTGAACGTGTATGGGTCGTAAAGCGGCTGTGTGTGTGGGGCGTGGGTGCTGTCTCACCGTCTGAGTCGATGCTGTTAAGTGCAGTGGGAGGAATGATTGAGACGCGACACTGACCCAAAGGACACACCTTCCCCATTTGTTCTTTACAGCTGCCGTGGACCTGCAAGTGTGCACACACACAGTTATTGGCTTGCACGGTCTTTCTATATTCCAGTAAAAGCACAAAGGTCATTAGGTCCCTCTGAAACCCACCAAATGTCAGTCCTGTAACCTTTACAAATGCCACTCTGATTCATTTGTGCACGCGGCTTTCGTTGTATCCCCACGTCTTCATGTACCGAGGATTAGGGTCCTCGTTTAGTGAACTCCATAAGTGGAATTGAGGAGATGCAGTACATCTGTAGATGTGTTTGCAACTAAAACGATGAATTCATCTGAACTTCATCACTTTATGATTTCAGTTAAGCAATACAACAGATGGTGCAGAGCTCAGACTGTTATTGTAAAACGGGATAGATCTAGACGCACATCAAGGTTTTTAAAACAGTACAGTGTGTAGTGTAGAACCAGCTGAGTCAGAATGAAACATTTCTTTCATAGTTATACCATGACAATGTGACAGGACATAAAAAAAAAAAGTCATTTTCTTTGTTTTCACTCAAACATTTAGCAACTATCAGAGAGGAAATTGGAAATGTGGATAATAATAAAAACAAAAATATTTTTAAATAAAATGGCAGAAAACCAACAAAACAAAAACAAGCTAACTTTTTCAACCAGTCTGGTCAGAATTAAACTATTTCTCCAAACTGAGGTTGTTCAAAGAGCTCAGTGCTCATAGCCTTCGCACAGAACACCACTTCAAAAGATCTGAACTATCACTTTACGTGGACAGGAAGAAAACTATAGATGAGTTGTTTCTGTCCGTATGATGAGCATCCAACATCCACTACTCTTAACTGTGTTTTGGTCCTGATAAACTCTTTAAGTCATGGTCAATAGTGTGAATGTTTATGAAGCATTCACACTATTGTGATCCATTTTTCTTCCGTACGTTTTTCAGCATATTTCTCGTTCCACAATTTTTGTGCTATTTCAACAAATCATAAATCCAAACGTTCAGCTCTTTCAGGAAATGGTGCTATGACTTTTGGTGTTGGTGCAACTTTAGCTTTTTGAAATATTTAGCCTTTTCTGCCACTTTTTTCTCATCGAAAATGAATTGAGCTCATTTTTAATACTTCAGATCTTTAGATCTGTTTACAGCCTTTTACTGCTCCTTTCACATTTTGTTCTGCTTCAGCTTCTTTCAGCTTCCTTGCACAAATTTAAACTTTTTTTTCAGCTACTTTCAGTTAATTTCAGCTGTTTTGTGCTCCATTCAGATTCTTTCTGCTAACCACATCTTTGTGCGTCTTCTGCTCCTTTCAGCTGATTTATGCAAGTTTCAGCTATATCTCCTATTTCAACTACTATATAGTTGTTTTTATGCTAATTTAAATATTTTCAGCCATTCCACATTTTTTGTACTCATTTAAACTTTTTTCAGGATAATTTAGCAAACAATGTGCTGTCTACACTTCTTGTAATTTCTTCTTATTTCTGTTTTTTTTTCTCTCGCTATTTTCCAGCTTTTTTTTTTTTTTTTTGCTAATTTAAGATTTTTCATCTAATTCCTACTTTTTGTTCTCATTTCTGCTTTTTTCAGCCTAATTAGGCAAACATGTTTTTTTCTGCTTTCTTAAGCTTGTTCTACCTTTTCAGCTACGTTTTCTTAACAATTAAATTTTTTCCTAATTTCAGCTGTTTTCAGATAAATTCAAGTTTTTTTTGTAAGTCCTTCTACTTTCAGCTTAATTAACTTATTTGTGCTAATTTCAGCTTGTTATGCTCCTTTCAGCTTGTTCTGCAATTTCAGCTATTATTTAGCTGTTTTTAATGCAAATTTTAGCTTTTTCTGCTAATTCCACAGTTTTTTTAATTAGCTCATTTAAGTTCTTTTCACTTTCTTCTCATAAGTTAAGCTTCTTTCTGCCTTTTCAGCTACTGTTGAAATGGGTTTTTTTTTGCTAATTTTAGCTTTTTTTTTTTGGTGCCGATTTCAGATTTTTTTCTGCTCATTTAACTTAACTGGGCAAACGTGTTCTTTCTGCTTTCTTCTGGTAACTTAGACTTGTTATTCATTTCAGCTACATTTCAGCACGTTTTTAGCTAATTTCAGCTGTTTTTCAGCAATAAGCATTCACACTGCATTTTCACAGGAAATTTCTCTAATTACTCTTTGGGAGATGTTTGTCTTTCCAGCCCAAATTTAAAATTGGCTCCGTTGAAACAAGAAAGCTCAGCAGTTAAAAACAGTCACCAGAAAACTAAATGTCTTCAAGAAACAGAGGAGATCCTGTGATTCTTGGACAGTTTCAAAGCTGTTAATAAAAAAGTGAGGATTCAGCTTTATATTTTATATAAATTAGTGTAAGACTCTGCCCTGGGCTTTAACAGAGTTCTATTAAAATTAATTCACCTTCAGTCCTTTGAGTGTCCTCACATGTCCTTGGACTTTTGTCCTCTGAGAATTAATTAGCCAACCAGTAAAGGTTGTTCTAAATATACTGTTAATGTCCTCGCAGAGGAGAATGATGACATGAATTTATCAGTGCCTGCTCTCCTGGTTCTTTGCTCCTCGGGGACCTCTGCTGCCATTTTGAGCGCCTCCTCATTATTCTGATGACTCAAGTGAAACCTCACAGACCCGACATGCTGTCGGGCACAAAGAGACAGTTTTGGAAAGCAGCAAGTCCTGAATGTTATTTCTGCACATACAAATTACTACAAATGGTCAAATCAATTTTCAGCTTTAACAAATTGGGTTATCAAAACTTTCACAGATTCATTCATCGTCAAACTGGTGATGGGCATGTGAAGCTTCTTGAAGCTCTGAGGCTTTCGAAAAAGACTCAGAGCTTGGAGCTTCAGCGGTGGAGACATGGTGAACACAGGAGCCATAAAAACCTCACAAGCATGACTGAAGAGCAGACTGTTTCAATCACGTGTCATTAAATAAAGTTTTTAAAAAGTCTGGCCAGGTTTTTCAGCTTCTTTCTGCCAATTTCAACGTTTTGTGCTTTTTCAGCTACTTGCAGCTTATGTTCTGCTAATTTTAGCCATTTTGTGCTCTGTTTTTTCCTTCTTGTTCTTTCGGCTGCTCCCTTCTTCAAGGGTTGCCACAGTGAACTAACTCACACAAACACTTGGTCATTGTTTTTATGGCGGAAGTCCTTCCTGACACAACCACAGACCACCGAGCTACCACAACCCTCTGTGTGGAGCAGAGAGCTGCCATCTAGGACACCCAGGGGAGCAGACGGTGGGGGTTAGAGTCTTGCTCAAGGGACCAGAGTGGGGCAAATGAAGGTGGAGACAGGTGTGGGTGCTTCACCTATCCCACCCACATTTTGACGTTGTCAGTTCGGGGAGTCGAACCGGTGACCTTCTGATCACAGGTCAACATTCTCTAACCTCTTCACCAACGCGCCCCCCCCCCCCCCCCATGTTGTGCTGTTAAGATCTTTTTTTTTTATTCTGCTTTCAGTTTTTGTGTTCCTTTTTTTTCTGCAAATTCATGCTTTTTTACACTACTTTCAGCGTTTGCTAATTTTAGCTTCATTCTGTTAATTCCAGCATTTTTATCTACTTTAAAAAATACATTTGTTCTCCTTTCGCCTGCTTCTCTCTACTTTTCACCTATTGGTGTATGTTAAGTAGTCTTTAGCTTGTTCAGCAGCTTTCAGCTAATTTATTTAGCAACAATGTTCCATTTCCACAGGAAAATTTTCTCTAGTTTAAAATGTTTTAATTCAACTACACACACACACACAACACTGCTTAAAGACTCTGGATCATGTTGCGCCTGTTAAAACCAAAAAAATCAAAACTCAGAGCAGAACCTTGGCTGAGTGACGTCACCAAGGCCGTTAGGCAGCAATGTAGGAGGGCGGAGCGCAAGTGGAGGAAAGACAGGCTGCAGGTCTCTTTTCAAATACTTAAAGAGAGTTGGCGTCGTCATCAGAAAACAGTAAAAGCTGCTAAATCCAAATATTTTTCTGATATCATAACCTCAAACTCTCACAACCCACGTGTCCTCTTCTCCACCCTAAACTCCGTTCTCCACCTCACTGAACCATCACCGCTGGAAGCCTTGACTGAGCTGTGCGACAACTTCCTACATTTATTTTTGGAAAAAATTGCGACCACCAGGGCTCTAATTTTCCCTCCAACTCATGACCCATCCATCCCACCTCAATCTGTAGCTCTATTTGACCATTTTGAACCCATCACTCAATCTTCTCTAGAGCAGGTCATGTGCAGCTTGAAACCTTCTGGTTCCCCCTTTGATGTGGTCCCCCCTCGACTACTAAAGGAGGTGTTTTCAACTCTAGATCCGTCCATTCTGGCTATAGTAAACAGTAGTTTATCCACTGGCATGGTGCCAAAAACCTTTAAACATGCTGCTGTCCAGCCTCTCCTGAAAACACCAAACCTTGATCCCTCAGTCGTTTCCAACTTCCAGCCTGTCTCCAAACTCCCATTTGTTTCTAAACTACTGGAGAAAATAGTCGAGTCCCAGTTGAAGTGCTTCCTGGAGGATCACGCCATCTTAGAGCTATTCCAATCTGGCTTTAAACCTCTCCACAGCACTGAAACTGCCCTGCTGAAGGTCTTTAACGACATCTTCAGATCCACAGATACCGGTGATTCTGTGCTGCTTGTCCTGTTGGACCTCACAGCCGCCTTTGACACCATCAACCATGAGATCCTCATTGCTAGGTTAGAGCAGTGGGTGGGCGTCACAGGATCAGCCCTCAATTGGTTCAGATCTTACCTCGCTGACAGATCCTTTTGTGTCTCTATCAAGGACTTTAGTTCTGCAGCGGCAGAGCTTAAATGGGGGGTTCCGCAGGGGGTCCATCCTGGGTCCCCTCCTGGGTCCCCTCCTATTCTCTTTATACCTGCTGCCGCTTGGTGCTATTTTCTGGAAACACAACATGCCCTTCCACTTCTACGCCGATGACTGTCAAATTTACTTCCCCCTAAGACACAATGGTACATGCTCTATTCAACCGCTGCTCAACTGCCTGGCTGACATCAGGGACTAGATGGCTTTAAACTTCTTAAGTTTCAATGAAAATAAGTCTGAAGTCATGTTGTTCCCTCCCAACGACACGATCACAAACCACTGCATCGACCTCTCCGCTCTAACCCTGTCAGAAAAACAAAGTCACTAATCTGGGAGTGATAATGGACCCTTCCCTGAAACTTAACAGTCACGTAAACATGATTGTTAAATCATGCTTCTTCCAACTGAGGCGGCTGTCTAAACTGAAGCCCATATTGTTAAAAAAATAACCTGGAGACAGTAATACATGCATTCATTACATCTAGGCTTGATTACTGCAATTCGCTCCTGTTTGGTATCAGTCAGACCTCCATTGCACGACTACAACTGGTCCAGAATGCAGCAGCCCAATTTTTAACCAGTACAGGCAAAAGAGAGCACATTACACCATTGCACTGGTTACCGGTTCACTTTCGAATCCAGTTCAAAATACTCCTGTATGTCTACAAATCACTGAACAGATTCGCCCCCCCATCTCTCTGATCTGCTACAACCGTATGTCCCACCACGTTCCCTGAGGTCAGCGGACCAGTTGCTCCTCACAGTTCCAGGAACTCGTCTTAAGCGCAGAGGGGACAGGGCCTTCTCTGTAGCAGGACCAAGACTTTGGAACGAGTTACCTCAGCTTGTCAGACAGGCCCCCTCCCTCTCGGTTTTAAAGTCCCGTTTAAAAACCCACTACTATTCAGTAGCTTTCAACACCAGATGATCTGTCTTTGAACCTGTATGCTCCACACTGGTTAGTCGTCATTATCTGCATCGTTTTTATGTCTATATTCTGATTTGCTTCATTTTGTATTTTGCTTTGTGTGTTACCTGTTGTTCTGTCTGTACAGCACTTTGGTTGGCCTTGTCACTGTTTTAAGTGCTCTATAAATAAAATGGTATGGTACACCATCAGCCAGTAATGCTTTAAATAAACACTAACAACGATTTGAGCCGAGAGTTTTTAACGAGACAGAGGCTGAAATTGAGCCCACTTACGATGGCCTTGCACCAGAGGCAGCGCCAGTCCTGCAGCCGCCGCACGCTGCCGCAGTTCCTGTCACACACCACACACTTGGCACTGACCGGCAGGTTGCCTTCCAGCCACTGGTGCGGCATGGAAACCTGGAAAGAACAAGGGAAAACTCAGAACAAAGAACATGTCTTACTTGAAAATATCAAAACAAAAAATGCTCAATTTATTGCCAACAAATCGATGAAAATCCATAAAAGGACTCAGTTTTGTTATATCAAAAATAATCAATGTGTTAACAGTGTGAATGTTTATGAAGCATTCACACTATTATGATCCATTTTTCACCGTATGATTTTTGGCACGATTCGTCCTGCATTTTAAGCTATTTCAACAAGTCATAAATCAAAACGTTCAGCTCTTTCAGGACAACCCTGCTATGACTTTTGGTATTGGTGCAAGTTCAGCTTTTTGAAATATTTAGCCTTTTCTGCCATTTTTTTCTCATAGAAAATGAATTGAGCTCATTTTACATCCTTCAGGTCTTTAGATCTGTTTACAGTCTTTTACTGCTCTTTTCACATTTTGTTCTGGTTCAGCTTCTTTCAGCTTCCTTGTGCAAATTTAAACTTTTTTTTTTTCAGTTAATTTCAACAAATTTCAGCTGTTTTTTTCAGCTGTTGTGTGCTCCTTTCAGATTATTTCTGCTAACCTCAACATCCTGTGCTTCTTCTAACTTCTTTCTGCCAATTTCAGCTTATTATGCTCCTTTCAGATGATTTTTGCAAGTTTCAGCATTTTCTGCTATTTCAGCTACTATTTAGCTGTTTTTTTGGGCAAATTTGAGCTTTTTCAGCTAATTCCACATTTTTGGCATACTTTAGACCTTTTTTTCTGCCTAATTCAGCAAAAATGTGCCCTCTCCACTTCCTTCTTGTAATTTCAGCTTTTTTTGTTGTTTTTAAGCATCTTTTCAGCAGCTTTTTTTTTGTTATTGCTAAATTCAGCTTATTTCAGATAATTTCCATTTTTTTGTGCTCATTTTTGCTTCTTTCAGACTAACTGGGCAAACGTGTTTTTCTGCTAAGCTTGTTCAACCTTTTCAGCTACATTATTTAGCTAATTTCAGCTGTTTCTAGATAAATTCAAGTTCTTCATGGTAATTTCAGCTACTTTCAGCCTAATTAACTTCTTTTTGCTAATTTCAGCTGGTTATGTTCCTTTCAACTTTGTTCAGCTACTTTCAGCTTATTCTGCTATTTCAGCTACTATTTAGCTGGTTTTATGTAAATTTGAGCTTTTTCAGCTAAGTCCCCATTTTTTTAGGTCATTTTAGCTCTTTCCATTTCCTTTTGCCTTTTCGGTTACTTTTTAGACGTTTTTTGCTAATTTGAGCTTTTCTTTAGCGGATTTCCTAATCTGTGTGCTTGTTTCTGCTCATTTAAACCCAATTCAGCAAATGTGTGTTATTTCTGCTTTATTCTGCTAATTTAGGCTTGTTCTTCCATTTCAGCTACATTTCAGCTGTTTTTCAGCAATAAGCATTCACACTGCATTTTCACAAGAAATGCAATTTCTCTTTTCTAAGACACTGAACCCTTAATTGCCTCCAATGTGTCCCATCGGTGTATGAATGTGATAAAGCACTGATTATTCTCTACAGTACAGATCTAGTAAAGTGCTGTATGAATGGGTAAATGAGGACACCTATTGTGTTGTGAAGAGCTTTGAGTATCTTGATAAGATAGAAAGGAGCTATAAGTACAGTCCATTTACAATTTACCATAAGTTTGTTTCAGTTTTGATTCACACTGAGAATACTTTCAAAAACTGATCAGAAATGAATAAAATTTCAGAAAAAATACAGTAAAAGTGGATTCAAGATAGCTGTATATCTCACCCCGTCCTCATCCTCGATGATGTCATTTCCTATGGAGGCCAGCGTGGTCCATTTGCAGTTGTTGGTGGAGCGAACAGCACAGCGCTTGTGAGCCTTGAACTTACACACTGTAAGAAACAAAAATAAACAATTGTTGTTTTTATAGCAGAAAAGACAGAAATGTGTCCTGTAACGTTCAGGAAGCTGTGGATTTGTTTTTTTAGAAGTGTGACTGAGGCTTGCTTGTAAAACTGAAACACTTTAAAGTAAACGACTTTGTGGCTTTTGTGTTTAATCATTGATCTGGATGTGGATGACAGAAAAAAAATTCAATATGAATACCACCTGCAGGTTATGGGTCAGTTCTGATTTCTGCTGGTGCAGCTGGGAGTAGCCTTACAACATTAGACCCTTTCAGGCAGGAGTTATTTTCTTTGAGCAAACATGTAAAAAATAAATAGTTTTTTATGGAACCCAATGATAAAAATCTGAACGGTTGTGTTCAAATCCTCACCGTTGACGTAAAAAGAATGAGGAAGTGTTTCATCGAGTCAAACCTGAGATTAAATCTGTCACCTTGAAACAAAGTGTCATAAAACCACTTCCTCACTGTCGAGGTTACGTGTCAAGACAGGACAAGTCCCAAATGCAAATAAATAAATAGAACTGAAGAGTACTTGGTAAAATCCAAACAGATGAACATCAAAAAGTTGGTTAGCCGACAGCTGACAAACTGCTAGCCTGCTAAACCAAGTGCTAGCTTCAGGCAGTTAGCAGTCGCAGCTCTCTGCTCAGCTTTGTCTGGGCTGTTTGTCACCTAGCTTGTGCTACGTTGTTCTTGTAGCTTGCTAGCTTTTGAGAGCACAAAGAAGTGATAGTTCAGTTTTTTTTAAGTGGGGTTCTGTGCAAAAGTTATGAACGATTATCGTATCTGTTGTCGATGGTGATCTCCGTTTGGAAAATGGGAGTTTATTTCTGATCAGACTGAGGAAAGGTGAAGGTTAATGAGAACAGAACCATGACTAAAGTGGTTTGCTGACGTTGTAAAACAACTTCAATTGTAACAGGCCTCTGCTGCTACAGTCTCTGTTATTTGCTCTGGTAAATAACCATATATTTCTATATAAATAGATGTGCAATCAAAATTATGCAAATATAAATGTTTATATAATCCATCACAGTTCATGCTCAATAATCCAGGTAAAAAAACAAAAAACAAAGTTAAGTCAGAGCCGCTGGACGGTTATTTTTTTTGTTGAAACATTTCATCCTTCATCCAAAGGACTTCATCAGTCTGAGGAGCCAAAACAAACTCAGTCCCATAAGTGGCTTACGCACTTAATGGGCCAACCAGTTTGATGGTGAAAAGATGGACTATGGGGCCGGCCCTCTCTCCTATCAGCTCCTCTGAGGCAGCCATAGCTCAAGTGTTTCAAAACATCTAAGATTATTGATGGAGCTGAATTACTGAGCATGAACTTTGATGTTTTGAACCACTTTGGCTATGGCTGCCTCAGAGGAGTCAATGCGGGAGAGGGTGAGGCCATCTTATCACCATCAAACTGGTTGGCCCACTATTTGAGTAAGTCACTTATGGGACTGAGTTTGCTGTGGCTCCTCGGACTGATGAAGTCCTTTGGATGAAGGACGAAACATTTCAACAAAACAAGAAACTGTCCAAATGACCTGACTGAACTTTGTTGGGTTTAAAAAACATCTATTGCCTGAATCAATTTGATTTTTTTTTGTTGGTTTTTGGTTTTTTATCTGGAAGGAGGCCCAGAGGAAGACCCAGGACACGCTGGAGGGACTATGTTTCTCGGCTGGCCTGGGAACGCCTCGGGATTCCCCCGGAAGAGCTGGCCCAAGTGGCTGGGGAGAGGGAAGTCTGGGCCTCCCTACTTAGGCTGCTACCCCCGCGACCCGACCCCGGATAAGCGGAAGAAAATGGATGGATGGATGGATGGATGGATGGATAGTTGGTTTTGTTAGCAGCAGTCTACTTTAGCCTTTGTCCTGCTCAGATTAGAAGTTAGCTCACAGATTCAGTCAGAATCAGTTTCTTCGAACTCAAGCAACTCGAACAGCTAACAGGTAAGATATTATTTGTTTGTAACTTTCCCAGAGAACCACACTTCAATATAATCTGAAAACTTCATATGAAGCCAGACTACACAAATACTTGGTGTTCATCATAAAACAAATTGTCTAGCCTTGTTTTTCCAGGGCAGCAAATGGAGCTTGAAGCAGAAATCTGAGGCCATAGATTGGACGGTTCACTTTATCAATCATGTGCAGTGGTCACAGAAACAGCTCATAAAAATATTTAAATTAAGCATGGTTACTAGGGCTGCACAGTGGCGCAACTGGTAGAGCTGCTGCCTCTCAGCGAGCAGGTCCTTGGTTCAAACCCCGGTCCAGGGGCCTTTCTGGGTGGAGTTTGCATGTTCTCTCCGTGCATGCGTGGGTTTTCTCCGGGTACTCTGGTTTCCTCCCACAGACCAAAAACATGCATGTTAGGCTGATTGGTAACTCTAAACTGTCCCTAGGTGTGAATGAGAGAGTGAATGGTTGTTTGTCTCGTTTGTCTCTATGTGTCCCTGTGATGGACTTGCGACCCGTCCAGGGTGTACCCCGCCCCTCGCACAGTGATTGCTGGACATGGGCACCAGCGACCCCCGTGACCCAAAATGGAATAAGCGGGTAAAGATAATGGATGGATGGATGTTTACTAGGGTTGCACAATATTATCGGCATGGTATCGATATCGGCCAGTGCTGGCAATCAAGTTAAACATCGGACATTCCATCAAAATAACTCACCGATATAAAAGGAGCCGTTTTTGTATGACAACCCAGTGACAAGGATGCCTGCAGCACCAGCACAACGTGATGACGTCATGCGTGCCGTTGAGTTTAGATTTGTGAAAATTTACAAATTTGCACTGTTCAAGTGTTGTCATTGTGTTAGAGTAAATGTCATGAATACATTTGACCTTAAACATAATCCAAGTTGAAGTGTTACATTATTTTCAGCCCCTTTTTGGCATCTGCATTTGGTAGCAGGCCAAATTGATAAAGACCATGCTGAATAATGTAGGATTTAAATTCCACAGCAGGGAAAGCTATGTAGTCTCTGTAACTAGGTATAGGAAAAACATATACTGGTATTGGTATTGGTTATTGGCCAAATAAGTTTCAACATATTCCATTCCATATGCCAATATTGGATATCGGCCAAAAATCCAATATCGTGAATCCCTAATGTTTACCAGGGAGGACTTCAAATGCAAAAGCATACAGATTGTGTGTAAATGTTGCATTTGATGCTTGTTCCCATCTAGTCACTTAACTTTACAGAAACAATTATTGTTACACAGTTGAACGTTCCAATGAACGCCTCTATGAATGTGTGAACCCAAAAGCACAAAAGTAGCAACCGGTGTGTGTGTACCTTCACAGGACAGCCCGTGGGAGGTGACGCCTGGCAGTGCTTCTCTGCAGACGTTGCAGAAGGTCGGTCTGGCGTGCGAGCACGCGTACCAGTTGTGCATCCCAGAGAAATGCTCCATGTTGAACTGACTTGCCTGACGGACAACAAGTGTGAAATTAGAGGACCATGACTTCCTTGTGTTACACTGACCTCAACAAGGACATAAAGAAAGCAGAGTGCAAGATGTTTTGACTACAACACTGAGCTGCTGTGGATAAAACATACAGATGAGACAAAACTGTGAAATGAGAACATTCTGATCAAACTTTCTGTAGGTTAAAAAAAATCATGCTGCACCTGCATGTCAGCTGTAAATATCCAGGTTTAAAGTAAAACCAAAACAAGCACTTCAGGGAACTTATAAAAGTTTAAAACTTGAGAGAAAAACTCCGCCTGGTTAACAGGTTACAGCTCTTTTTATAGCCTATAAAAAGCTCCACTTTTACAAGCAAAATCAATCTGTCAGGAAAAAGCTCAAACGAGAAGCCTAAAAATAAAAAAGCTGAAAGAACAGAAAGGAGGAGAAAGAGAGACACAAAAAAGAAGGCACAGGTCTAAGTTTGTGTGCAGCTCATTTTCCTCACATTAACCTATCACTTGGTGCGGTGCAGGTAACTAATGTGAGTCAACAAATGCTACAACAAAACAGACATATGAAGAGATTAGGAACACGTACTTCATAAGTTTCCCATTTCTGGACAGATTTTAGGGCAGTGATCCAGTCCTCCATTTCCTTCCTGCTCTCAGCACAAAGCATTAGTTTGCGAAATGGTGTGATGACCTGAAGAAGATGAAAAGAAAAACAAATTTTAACAAGCTGAGCTTAGCAGTGAAAAACGTGATTTAAAAGCACAAGAAAATTCACAAAACAAGAGCACTGCATATAACACATCATACACCCGTCAACAAACTATTATACAGCAACCTATAGCAATGGCCTGGACAAACAAATACTTGTTTTACGTTTGACTTTGACCTTGGAGCTGGGAGAAGAAAGGTATACGCAACACTACATGTAGTAACGATGCATATGTGTATTTGGTAAATTATCTTGAGCGGATCAGATGTTATGGGCGAGAGAAGAAAAAGATAAGGACATACGGAAACTATACCATACAATGTCTGACCGCCTTCGACGGATGAATTAAATGTATCTGAAGTCAGATGTTTAGATACAGTAATGTTTAGCAGTTCTTGTAAAGAAGAGAGCAGTTCAGGCTAAATGTTGACAGACATCCGTCACTGTGGTTTGTTTGGTAAAGTATCTACTACAAAGAAGACCTAAAGGAGTGGCAGGACATTGTGTTTTTATGTTTCTTTTCCTTTTACTCAAAGTAAATTTCTAACTTTAAAATGAAAAAGTCCTCATTTGGCAGGTCTGAAACCACAAACATATTAAATACAGTAGTCCCTCCTTTATCGCGGGGGATCTGTACCCTCAAGCCCCGTGATAAGTGAAAAACCGTGAAGTAGGAATAGTGGTACAAGTAATAAGTAGTACTTTGTACTATATATATATATATATATATATATATATAGATATAGATATGTGTGTGTGTGTGTGTAAATGCTCTAAAAGAGCAGACTATGTCATGATTTCAGCTCTCTGCCTCCTGCTGCACTCTGCCATCTGCCAGCTCTTGGTCCTGTCCACTTCTCTGAGATCTTTCCAACGATCAGCTGATCAGCTGCAGGAGGAAGTTTTCTTGCAGCTTGGGCTGCACACAGGTGCTAAATAAGTTTAAATAATTTATTTTAAATAAAAATTCCATGCCTATTATGTGGCTCATCCATCAATCGGCCAATTGTGTGTCATGTCCAATCTTATTTTGAAAAACCGCGATAGAGCGACTCGGTGAAAAACGAACCGCAAAGTAGCGAGGCTACTGTACAGCCAATTTCGGACTTTTATTTTTTTCAAACACACAATTACTTAACATACTTCTTACCTGATTTATTATTGCTCTAAAAATTGTTCTAATAAATGTGTGGTCCTGTGATGGACTTGTGACCCGTCCAGGGTGTACCCCGCCCTTCGCACAGTGATTGCTGGACATGGGCACCGGCGACCCCCATGACCCAAAATGGAATAAGTGGGTAAAGATAACGGATGGATAAATGTGTGGTCTCAGTCATTAAAGATTTATTTTATTTTGTGCAATATGGTCAAATTTAGAATAAAATGGACAATCCAGTAGGTTATACGTTAGAACAGGGTGTTGGGGGTAAAACTAGAAGGTTTGGAAACAGTGGTGCAGATAATACAGGGGGTTAACATGGTGTGGGCACGAGTGTGTTTTTTTTATTTTTATTTATACATAAAGACACTGTATATTTTGAACTTGAAATATTTTGATATTTTGATCTAGGCTCAAATTTTACAATGATAGCGATCATCACCTATCAACGACTCGTTAGTTTGGCATAGCTAAAACAGATTCATGATCAATGCTTTTTAAAGTTGAAAGTAAAAAAAAAAAAAAAAGTAAAATTTAAATACAAAAAGGTTACGTAAACTTTTGCTTGTTGCTTACTGTGAAGCTGTTGTTGATGTTCTTAGTGCTCGTCTCCGCCACGCTGGCATCTGATAGGTCCACTTCGTCAAAAATCAGAGACTGATGGGAAAAAACAGACTCATAATTTTCTATTTATATTGAGATACATTTAGTCATGTTTTCCAACACCTTGGAGTCACATAAAAAATTAACAAGATGTTATTTCTAGATATATTCCAATATTTTAGGCCGACATAGGTCTTTGGGGACTTATCGATATCATATATGCACCAATATAAACACTTCTAATGTTCACCCCTAAAATGCTGGAACTGGCCATAATTGTACAAGGCATCCAGCAGAAGGAGCATGAAGATGACTTTCAAGTCATGGCGTTCATTTTAAGTTTCAGTTACATCACAGACGAAGCAAGGAGCAATACGTGTAGCATATTTTGCTGAATAGAGCAAGGTAAGTTTATTATAACTGATCCATTAAAAAAAAAATCAACAATAATAAAATCTCTTAAATCCTCCAACCTGCTTGTCGTTAGCTACGGGCCTCTCAAGTTAGCAAGCTAATGTTTAGATAACCTAGCATAGGCTATTGCCTTGGAAAACTTTATCCAGAACAATAAATCTAACATGTAAATGCATGTAAATATATATTGTATGCTATCTTTGTCATCCTCAGTGAAATGCTTTGTTTGTCTCTGCAAAGACAATAAACATTGCTGCGGTCAATACTAATTAGACCTTCACCATACGTGACTGACTGTTTAAACAACAAACAGCGAAGGGCGTTTCTTTAATTTATATTTTTGTAACACACTTAATAACTTTATGGTGAATAGTGGAGGACAGAAATATGAACGCACGTTAGGAAGACTGTTTTTATGACCAGTGCACCACTTGTAAACCTACTGTGGGACTAGTCTAAGTATAACAACAAAGTCCATGCTCAATAATCCAGGTATAAAATCCAACATTTTTCAGTCAGGTCATCTGGACAGGTTCTTTTTTTGTGCTGAAACGTTTCGCCTTCGATCCGGAAGGCTTCATCAGTCAAGGAAACACACAACAAAACTGATTCTTCCCCCAACAGCTTACTCCAAAGTGGAACAAACCAGTTCTGCTTGTGATTAGATGGTCTCTTTGGTACGCCCCTCCTCCATTGCTGGCCCTCTTCCTTGTTGACAGCCTTGTCAAACTGGTTGAAAACAACAAAGTCCATGCTCAATAATCCAAGTATAATTCAACAAGGAAGAGGGCCAGCAACGGAGGAGGGGCGTACCAAAGAGACCATCTTATCACAAGCAGAACTGGTTTGTTCCACGTTGGAGTAAGCTGTTGGGGGAAGAATCAGTTTTGTTATGCGTTTCCTTGACTGATGAAGCCTTCTGGATCGAAGGCGAAATGTTTCAGCACAAAAAAAGAAACTGTCCAGATGACCTTACTGAAAAATGTTGGATAGTCTAGGTATAGCGTGGATGTGATTTGCTTATGTTCATGGTTGCGAACAGCTGCACTAAATAAACAAGCCCCGCTCCACTTGCTGTTTTCTTAGATCCTTTGGGGTGGACAAAGCTTAAAAATTTTCAGCCATTATATCTGTTATCGGTGGTCGCCTTCCCCTCCAAATATCGGTATCAGGAATAGCTCAAATTCCATATCGGTCGGGCTCTAGTTATTTCCTGTACAAACTAAATCTATTAGTTCTGATTTGCACTTTCTCAGTTGCACTGCAATGTGGCATTTTAAAAACGGCTGAAGGCAGTTTCAGACATATCTGTACCTTGCAGTCTTTGGCATAGTAGAGGGTCCTGCCTCTGAGTTTGAAGTATCTCCTCTTCCATCTCTGGAAAGAGCTGGTCTGTTTTAACAGGATTCCCTCCTTCACACTTTTCTAAAAAGACAAAGATGATGAAAAAGAAGGAGAGGAGGAGGAAAAACATGTTAGCACACTTAACAGCTATTCATTTTGAAGTTCACGCATAAACAGATCAGTTTGGATACTGTTACTATGAGAGCTTGCTTCTACCAAAATACAGCAGAGGGGAAGATGCACTTATACAGTAAGGTCTGTCAGAATAAACCTCTCTTTCTCCAAGCTCAGTTAATTTGAACAGCTATCTACAACAGGTAAAATATTAATTGTTTACAACCTTCCCACCAAACGCCGCTTTTAGGATCTGAGCCATCACTTTCAATAGGTGACGGTATTCAAGCACAAACTTAAAAGCCCCTACAAACAATTTTTAGTGCATCATTAATTTGTACAAAAAAAGAAGTGGTTATTTCTACAAATAATTAAAAATAATACAGATATCAGCTAGGAACAAGACATTTAGCTCAGTGTCAGTATTTCAAGTCCATAAGCTGATAATTCAGCCCTACTGTTGGACTTTTAAGCAACAATAACAGGATAAGACAGAGAGGATGAGGTACAGCTGTCGCAGCAACTTATCTGCATACCCAAAACCCACGATTCACTTTTATATAACGTTTGTGCTGAGCTGCGTTGGCTGCTATTGTCTTTTAAACATCTGATTATCGTGTGCTGCCTTTTTCCTCCCTTCTGTTTACGAGTACATGCACCGAGAGCACACAACACGCCGTGGGTAATCAATTTCAGATAAGACTCAGAGTGTCGCCATGGAGATTCACATTCCTCGTGGTGGATGCACAAGCAGGCAGAGGGACAGATACGATCTTAAGACTCTCAGCACGTCGCTCATCACGCCTCCATACCTGTGCATTTATCACCCGCTGCAGCAGCATTCATGCATGATTGGATTAGATTAGCCCCGTGTCATGTTTGGGAAGTTTCAGAGATAAATACCACGTGTCAGAGTGTGTTACAAGAATGATTAAACAGCAGACACTACAGGCAGCTTGACAAAGCTTCACACACACACCGTTGTTCCATGTTTGTTGGAATACATTTGAAAACGGTTTCATTTTGCAACAACCAGTATACTGTATCTAGAAATGCATGCCGTTTCATTTAACAAAAACTGCAATAATAATTACAAAAACAAAGCAAAGACAAACTTTAAAACACTTCAAGTGGTCAACAGTAAGCTTCTTTAATTAATACAACCTGTGGACAGAAACACCAAGCCTCTTACATCGACTCATAACCCTCAGGCTCATGATGTGTTGCTTGTTCACACAGTGGGGTAGGGGTGTCCTGTATTTTTTGTGACATAGAGGGGCTGTCATGCCCTTCAAATGGAGGATTTTAAAGGTGCACACTTCAAAAGATAAATTAATTGCTGTGCTTGCAAAAATTTGGAAATCCAAGTATTTTCTATGTTAAACATGTTCTACAGTGATAACCACTTGTGTAGTGTCTAGTTTGATGTATTCTGTTTGGTATCATTGCTAATCATGCCTAACAAGCATAAAAAAATATTAATTACATTACAAGGTACACAACATGGGCATCACGGTGGTGCAACTGGTAGAGCTGCTGCCTCTCAGCGAGCAGGTCCCTGGTTCAAATCCCGGTCTGGGGGCCTTTCTGGGTGGAGTTTGCATGTTTTCTCCGTGCATGCGTAGGTTTTCTCCAGGTACTCCGGTTTCCTCCCACAGACCAAAAAAAATGCATGTTAGGCTGATTGGTAATTCTAAATTGTCCCTAGGTGTGCGTGAGAGAGTGAATGGTTGTTTGTCTCGTTTGTCTCTATGTGGCCCTGTGATGGACAAGCAGCCCGTCCAGGGTGTACCCCGCCCCTAACACAGTGATTGCTGGACATGGGCACCGGCAACCCCCTGTGACCCAAAATGGAAGAAGCGGGTAAAAGATAATGGATGGATGGATGGATGGATGGTACACAACATTTATGGTCATATTGGAGTAGCTGGAGTAATGGAAAGAACTGATGATGCACTGCCTTCTTGAAGAGGTGTCGCTTTTTGTATTGAAAAAATACAATCTATCCCTTCAGACTTTGAATAATAAGAACTAAGAAGTAAGACCAAAACATAACTCACCACTTCACTCAGTATAGAGGCAAAACTCCACATGAACATACGTTGTATTTTGTGAAAATGCAAACATTTTTCATTTCAGGCTTGAGGCCAAACAAAAACAGAATGTCAAGAACGCCAAAACAGCGATTTTTGAAAATGTTCAAATGTCAGGCACCACGGTGGCACAGTTGGTAGATCTGCCACCTCTCAGTAAGGAGGTTGTCAGATTGAATCTTGGCCGGGGGCCTTTCTGGGTTGAGTTTGTATGTTCTCTCTGTGCATGTGTGGGTTTTCTCCGGGCACTCCAGTTTCCTCCCACAGAACAAAAACATGCAGGTTAGGTGGTTCGTTTTTCATGAACTCACTATTGCGGTTTTTCAAAATAAGACTGGATATGACACACAATTGGCCAATTGATGGATGAGTCACATAATCATTATGGAATTTTTATATGAATAAAATTAGTTTAAATTATTTAGCACCTATGTGCAGCCCAAGCTGCAGGAGAAGCATATTTCCGCTGTGCAGCGGAGCAATGAGCATATATATATATATATATATATATATATATATATATATATATATATATATATATATATATATATTAACATACATTATGTAACAATATGCTGCAAAATGTCTTAAAGTGAAGAAATTGAATCACTAATATCACTTTATTTAATAAATTAAACTTTTAGTACGTCAGTTAATCATTTTTGCGTTCCACAAAGGAATAGAGTATTTATTTTTAAGTAATTATTTAGTGTGCCTTGTTTGAAGTGGTTTTAGCAGAGCAGTATTTTGGAATTCCCACATAAACTGTGAAAGCATTGAACAGTTACAAAAGAGTTTGATTGTTCATGCTTTTGCAGTTTTGCAAAAGTAGGCTGCTTGTGAGGATGTTTTTCCTGCTGAATTACACTATAAAATAAACTGAGATGGGCTTTAACAAACACTCCAGAGCTTTCCATCACAGAGGTACTTGATTTGTCTAATTTAAAAACCCAATCTTTTCAGCTGAACACAGTCGCCCCCAACAGATGTTTGCTCAACGAAAAGATTCAGCACTTCAGGAGATGAATTCATAACTACCAAACAAGCCAACAGCCAGTGTGAGAGCATTTTTCATTCAAATGGACAAGAAGGTCAAAAGATCGAAAACCCACGTTAAGTCAAAGCACCCCTCATAGCTCATTCTTGGTTAGCTTTGTTGGTGTGTTTGCGTTAGATCATTGGAGTCAGAAACATTTGTAATGGGGAGGGAGAGGACACTGGTGTGTGGGGGGGTCTTGGGGTCCTTCCCCAGAAAATTTTGACTAAAGTAGACGCTTTTTGCTGCATTCTGGTGTATTTAACGGGTTGCTAAAGATCTACATTTACCTACAAAAGTAAAAACTTGATTCAATAACTATTTTTGGAGAGCACGGCACAAAAAATAGCCTGACCAACGGCTCTCCTTGTGTGAATAGAGCATGCATTCTACCCCGCCCCGGTTGCTAACATAGCACTAAGCTAGAGCGCAACACAGAGATGTCTCCCTGTCCACCCCTGCACTGTCACCCAAAAAGATTAGCGCCCTGCCAAGACAAGTGACCGAGGGGAGACACTGCATGTGGTGTAATAAGTTGTTGTAGGTAACCAGGAAAACCTGTAGTGGACTTTTAGTGTTTGAGAACTCTATTAATCAAGTGGGATGGATTTGTTCCCGAAGAAACAGAAACGGCACTGGGTGAACTACTATGTCATGGTAAATGTGTATGTGTGTGTGTGTGTGTGTGTGTGTGTGTGTGTGTGGGGGGGGGGGTGTCCAAATGAATATTTTTTAAATGTGAGGTGGACACATTCCAGTGTTTCCCTTACCATTATACAAGCAGGGTACCCTGCCCTGTCAATAGAACTGAGCGCCCTGCCTACCGACCCCACCCCCACGACAACTGCCAGCACTGATGTAGCGCTAAGCTATCAGCGCGCAATACAGACGTGCTTAGCCATCCCCCCCACCCCGACAAAAATCAAAGAAGTGATGAGCACCCTGCCAAGGCAAGTAATGTAGGGAAAACACCACGTCCCCTTCACATGCAACAATAAAGAATCTCTGACTCTGACATGCAACAACGCCTATGGTTTTAGATACTAGTGCAGTCATGAAGTAGTCCACCTTGTGCTGGCCTTTCTTACAATAAATGTACAATCAAACCCCAAGCAAGACAAAATCTATTGTCATCAAGTTAGAGACAGAAGAGGAGAAAGCTGGCTGGCAGCGCTGTGACAGATAGGATAACATTACGAGTCATTATCAAGAAAGTTGGAAAATAAACTGAGCTGTGCCAGCAGAAAAACAAACAAGAAAACCAACATAGCCGATACAACAATGACTTCCAGAAAGGTGAGACACAAAAAAGTAAGAGCAGGCAATCCCTGTTGGAGGAGGGAAAAACAAAAGTGTAAAGGTCTTCCAACAATCTGCCACATCAGAGATATGTGAAGGTGTTAATAACCCTAATCCACCAATCAAGTCGATCTGTGATTGCTATAGCAAAAGTAACAGCAGTTGTCAGTCAAGAAGCTAATCCGGGTTTCTGATTAAGGAAAACATCACTGATAAAGCTGAAGGACAAGTTCAAGTCAAGACAAACTTGCAGAACAGTGCCTCGTATAACTGAAGTTTACATTCTTTAATTATGACCTCAATCTGTCTTTAAAATCAAGGTTCAAGCACAGCTGCTTTTAAAGGTGCACAAAGAACAAAAAATATCTCAAGGAGGCAGAACGTCACTGTTCAATCAGAATGTTTCATCTGGTGAAAACAATGTGATGGCAATCCAACAAATTTCAGTCAGGTCATCTGGACAGTTTTTTTTTTTTTTCTGAAACGTTTCACCTTCCATCCAGAAGGCTTCATCAGTCAAGGAAACACAACACAAACGA